AACAGCTGTATTCTGTTCTTGCTGCGTAAGTTACTAAATAGTCCAATGAACTCCTCCATATCTAAGGCACTCAATGTCATGTTATGCTTTAATTTCCTTTTTTCACAGAAAAGGTAAAAGTCACCAAAATTATGTAAAGCTTTCTTTGTCTTTGTTGAGAGCAACCGCTTCATTGACCAATTTTAAAATTCCACAATACCAGATCAATCAAACTGTCATTAGGATACAACTACCAGAGACACAATAAAAACATTACCATTAATACATGTACACTAAATCTTTCAGATGCAATTATACCTTTAATTAAAATACAAATTTAAAAGATGACATGAAAAAGCAACAAGTTTTCATGAGTTGGGTTGACCTATGACAGCTTTTTCACCTGCTAGCAAGCTACCTGCTACTTTAAATAAGCCATCTATGGAATCACCAAACCTACACACTAGAATTTGTGCATATCTGTGAAATTCTGTGAGCAACTAAAAATATAGTTGCATCACATGTGTGTTTGGGAAAACTCTGTTCCATGCTTGATGATTTACATCACTCATAGTCAATGATCCCACCAACCACTGGCTACGTCATTGTTTTATGAAAAACTGGTCTACTGCTAAATGTTTTAGGCCACATCATCTGATCCTATGAATGTTAACATACAATTGTGGGACTGGATTTTAATAGAGCTACCATATATGGATATAAGTATTGGGACACATCTCTTAATCATTGAATTCAGGTGTTTCATTTAGACCCATTGCCACAGGCAAATTAAATCAAGCATGGTACTGTCAGTTTGTGAAATTTCTTCCCTGCTAGATATTGGAAAGTGGAAGCATATAGGAACAACAGAAACTCAGCTACAAAGTGGCAAACATACAGTAATAGAGCAGGGTCACCGAGTGGTGAGTGCTGTCAAGTTTAGTGCATAAAATTTGCCAATGCTCTGTCGACTCAATAACTGCAGAGATACAAACTTCAACTGAAATTGACCCCAGCACAAAACTCCGCACTGGGAGCTTCATGGAATGGGCTTCCATGGCTGAGCAGCTGCAGTCAAGCCTCACATCACCAAACATAAGGCCAAGTGTAGAATGGAGTCGTGTAAAGCACTACTGAACTCCACTCTGTAGAGTGACGAATCATACAGTCTGATGGATGAGTCTGGTTTTGGGGGATGCCAGGAGAATGTTACCTGCCTGACTGCATTGTGCCAACAAAGTTTGTTGGAGGAGGGTTAATGGTACGGGGTTGGGCCAGGCCCCTTAGTTCCAGCGAAGAGGGCTCTAAATGTTTCAGCATACCAAGACATTTTGGACAATTCTATGCTTCCAACTTTGCGGGAACAGTATAGGGAAGGCCCTTTTCTGTTCCAGCATGACCATACCCCAGTACACAAAGCAAAGTCCATAAAGACATGGATGGATGAGTCTGTGTGGAAGAACTTGACTGGCCCACACAGAACTCTGACCTCAACCCCATCGAACACCTTTGGGATGAACTAGAATGGAGATTGTGAGTCAGGCCTTCACATCCAAAATCAGTGCCTGACCTCACAAATGTTTTTTCTGGATGAATGGGCAAAATTTCTCACAGACACAATCCAAATCTTGTGGAAAGCCTTCCCAGAAGAGTGGTAGCTGTCATAACTGCAAAAGGAGGGGGAGGGGACTAACTCCATATTAATACTTATGGATTTAGAATGGGGTGTCATAAAAGTTTCTGTAGCTGTAATGGCCAGGTGTCTCAAACCCTATACCCATATAGTGAACATTACTGTTGCATTTTTAAAGAATTTTACATATTTAGAAAATTAACTAGTATCGTTCAAATTTTTTATTGTTTCTCAAGATATCTGTCAGTTTGAAATATCACAATGAAGGATGATACAAACCCTTCCATAGTTAGGGACAGTCAGTCAGTACATATTTAATAGGCAGGTAACCAAAAAAAGAATTTTTGCCTAATTGTAGAAGGGTAGGATAGATTAGAGGCAGCCCAATCTTTAGGGACCCATGACAGTTCACATTTTTGTTTGCTCTCAGCTCTTACTCAGCTCTTACTCAATCAAGAAACCCAAATACCTGGCAAGCATGTGTTGAGAGCTGGCAAAAATGTGGCGTGTCTGGGGGTCCCCGAGTGCTAGGTTGGGAAACACTACTCTAAACTACCAAAAGAGTATTACTGTGTGCAAATGTCCTGTACCAGACAAGCATGCCTGTCTGTGGTGCACCACAAGTCAGTGCTGCGTGGAATAAGCTTTTGCCCTATGAATCTGACCAGCTTAAGTGGTTATAAGATGAATGGATTAGTTTTACCATTCTGTTGATGATATTTTAGCGGAAATTCCATGCTCGATGCTACACCATGCTCTCCAGGGAAACAAACCTGTAATATCATTATCACACATTCAGTTATTCAACTACCATAATATTCACAACACAGGTCACACGTGGAACAGAAAGTGAAAGATGCATCTAGTAACACACTATTTTGTGGGCAGTGGTGGCTGAATGGTTAGGGAAGTGTACTTATAATGAAAAGATTGCTGGTTTGAATCCCTGACCAGCAAGGTACCACTGAGGTACCCTGAGCAAGGTACTGCTCCCTGGGTGCTGAATTAGCTTAACCCTGCTATATCATGACATCCGACGGGTTAAATGCAGAGGACACATTTTGTTGTTGTGCTGTGTCAACACGGAACACTAAATTCAGCTTCACAAACTAAAACAACTTATTTCATTATTGCAAAATTGTGAGTGAGCAAGTAAAGCATCATTAACAAAACACAAGGCATACATTTTCTGGAACTACAGAATCCTAAACTGCAAGTTATACAAAAAAAAGACAGCAGTTGAGTGAGGGTGCTATGGGACTAATGAAATGTTACCGTCTCCAGTTAATCTTTGGCTAACCTTACATTTTCATTACAATAAATAACAAAACTCTGATATGCATGTATATGAAAGTTTTACTTGTACGTATGTGTATAAGCATACTGTATATGTTTCATAATAAGGCAATTTAAAACCATGTTAAGGTACACTATATTGCCAAAAGTATTGGGACACCCCTCCAAATCATTGAATTTAGGTGTTCCAATCGCTTCCATAGCCACAGGTGTATAAAATCAAGCGCCTAGGCATGCAGACTGCTTCTACAAACATTTGCAAAAGAATGGGTCGCTCTCAGGAGCTCAGTGAACTCAAGTGTGGTACCGTGATAGGATGCCACCTGTGCAATGAGTCCATTTGTGAAATTTCCTCGCTACTAAATATTCCATGGTCAACTGTTGTTATTATAATAAAGCGGAAGCAATTGGGAACAACAGAAACTCAGCCACAAAGTGGTAGGCCATGTAAAATCACATAGAAGTTGCCAACTGTTGCAGAGCCAATAGCTACGGACCTCCTTATATCACCAAGTGCAATGCAAAGCATTGGATGCAGTGGTGCAAAGCACGCTGCCACTGAACTCTAGGGCCGTGGAGATGTGTTCTCTGGAGTGACGAATCACGCTTCTCTGTCTGGCAATCTGATGGACGAGTCTGGGTTTGGCAGTTGCCAGGGGAACGGTACTTACCTGACTGCATTGTGCCAAGTGTAAAGTTTGGTGGAGGGGGATTATGGTTTTTCAGGGGTTGGGCTTGGCTACTTAGTTCCAGTGAAAGGAATTCTTAATTCTGCAACATTCAAAGTTATTTTGGAGAATTTCATGCTCCCAACTTTGTTGGAACAGTTTAGGGATGGTCCCTTCCTGTTCCAATATGATTGCGCACCAGTGCACAAAGCAAGGCCCATAAGGACATGGATGAGCGAATAAGTTGTGGAGGAACTTGACTGGTCTGCACAGGGCCCTTACCTCAACCTGATAGAACACATTTGGGGTGAATTACAGTAGAGACTGTGAGCCAGGCCTTCTTGTCAAGTCCAGCATCAGTGCCTGACCTCATAAATGCTCTCCTGGAAGAATGGTGAAAAATTCCAATAAACACACTACTAAACCTTGTGGACAGCCTTCCCAGAAGAGGTGAACTGCAATATAGCTGCAAAGGATGGGCCAACTCCATATTAAAGCCTATGTATTAAAAATGGGATGTCATTAAATTTCATGTATGTGTGTTTTTTTTTTTTTTTACTTTTGGCAATATAGTGTATTTCAGTCAATGAAAAGAACATATCAAATGGTAAATTTATCTGTTGGTTAGATAAACTTCACTCAAGATTAGGAGTTATGGTGCGCAAACCTAAAGTTCTGCAACAGGTCACTGAAAAATAAAAATAGATTAACAAATATTCTCCCAGTGTGAGTCATCTATTATATTTTAATAACTATGGACTGAATTTTAATAACTATGGACCACTATGAATTTTATTGGTGTAAAATTAAAACTTTTAAATCACTGACACTTGACAGGGTTGCAGCAAAATTAGGTGGAGGCTCTTGATTTTTGAAGCTATGAGTTTGCTACTCATAGCTTCAAAAATCAAGAGCCTCCAAATAATTTTGCTGCAACCCTGTCAAGTGTCAGTGATTTAAAAGTTTTAATTTTACACCAATAAAATTAAGAAGAACATCAAACGACACACTGAGACCCATCACTGGATAAGGGATTGCAGGAAATGAATGGATGATTTATACAGCAGAAATCATGGTTGTTCATCTATGCTGATATTTTAAACAGTGAAACTCTAGTCATTTTAACAAATATATATATAAACTTTAGAAATCAGTAAATGGCCTGTTCAAAAATCTGCATGGCATACAGCGATCTCTGTCCTACAAACATACGAAAAATTACTTGCATTATTTTAGATGCAGCTTACAGTGTTACACTATGCTGTTTAGTTACCCCATTTAGTCCTCAAAGCGATGCCATAAAACTAAAGACTCTCACGGTGTAAGGTTTATTTTCAAAGGAATTTAAAGTCAGTGGGATAAAGGGTCCCAATTTATATTGTAAAACGTAACAAAACACACTGCAAAGTAAACCCAGACACTACTTTTCAAAAAATACTTAATATTCTGCTTTATTACATAAATAAATTTGTATTTCACTGTAAGAATATAAAACTATTTCGGCTGGAGTCTTCTGTTACAAATATGCATACAGTACATTTAGAACATAGCATCTCTTCAGCAGGACTCATTAGATGTTGCAGATCAACACATTCACTTTCCATCATTAATGAAGAAAAAAAAAAACTTTTTCGGTTAAATTTTTCAAAGGGATACTAGACAAACCTGAACACAACACACAGGGAAATTACTCAGGAAAATGGACTGATTCATGTAAGGGCACCAAAATAAGAAGTCACTTCAATTTGAAGTATGATGCCATGAATTTAAACTATTCATTTTAAACAAATCTGCTCAGACAAGCATAAATACATCATCAGAAGGGACTCCATATTCAAAGCTAGAAAATCAAGGCCTGGACGACTACAACGTCTTAAAATATAGGCTTTCGTAATTTAAAAATAATTACAATAATAATTCGCTTTCACATACTTCACGAATGCTTTTAAAAAGACTTGTTTGCAGGATTGGCATACATTTAAAAATTAACTTAGAGACCGATCATTCTTGCTTCCCCCCAGAGGAAACTGTGGGGGAGGGGAAATTCATAGGCACAATTCGTGTATTTAAGGAATAAGATTTCTAGCTAAACAAAACGAGGTAGCCAAAATATTCAAAACGCGATAACAACGTCCGTCAACTCCGTATTGCAGCTTTTAAAGGCATTTAAACTACCTCATTATTTTGTCTATTGTTATATGGAGCATAAGTTAAATGAGACGATTTTCCTGTTTATATTTAAAAAAACTCACAGTTTTAATTTCATTAGGAAAATAGTAATTTGACAATAGCTATTACTACTCAGGAAAAGGTGTTGTTTAAATACTTGAAACTGCCCCCCGCGCTCCTTCGTCTGCAAAGCCTTTAAAATGGCAGGTTTCATCGCACTTTTTCACCCTCGGTCATCTGCCAGAGTCCCAAGTTCAAAACTTTAAGGCAGGGCAGCTGCGTTATGCGCTCCAGACCCCGTTTGGTGATCTTCGTGCAGCCGTAGAGGTCGATGCCCGTCAGCTGACTCAGGTGGTCTGCGATCAGCTCCAGGCCCTTGTCGGTGATCCGCACACACTGGCCAATATTCAATGTCCGCAGCTCATGCATCTGGCGTACCATTCTGTTGATGCCGTCGTCGCTTATGTGACAGGAACACAGCGACAGCGACTTCAGCTGGTATAGGCCCTGGGCCACGTAAGCCAAGCTCTGATCGCCGATCTTATCGCAGAATGACACGTCCAGACCCGACAAGCGCAGAGTGCCCATGGCCAGATGCATGGTGCCCGTGTCACTTATATTGTCGCAGGAGCGCAGATTAAGGCTCCACAGGCTGGTCATGTGGGAGAGGTGGATCATGCCGGCGTCTGAGATACCGCCGCAAAAACTTAGATTAAGGACTCGCAGCTTGGTCAGGCCTTTGGAGATGTGCTTGAGGGATAAGTCCGTCAGCTTCTGGCAGTCCTGCAGGGTCAGGTACTCCAGGTTGAGGCAGCCCTCAGCCGCGCTCCGAGTCATGCCAGACAGATGACCGATACCCACATCCGACACATGCCGGCAGCTGCGGAGGTTCAGGGTGTTCAGGCGGTGCAAGCCCCAAGCGATGAGTAACAGGCCAGTATTGGTGATATTGCTGCAGCCACCTAGCTCCAGTACCTCCAGATTTTTCAAGTACTGAGCGATTCTGCCCAGACTGGAGTCTGTGATCTGCTTACACAGGCTTAAGTTCAGCACTCGCAAGGAAGATATATCCTGGACAAAGGCATGCCCGAGGCCATTATCCGTTAAGTTATAACAGCCACTCAGATTCAGGCTTTCGATATTTGGCATCCCTTGGATCACATAGCTCAGGCTGCGTCGCAAGCTGAGGATCTGCACCCTCCTGATCCCCCGGGTCTGCAGGCTGGGGAAGAGGGACGGGTTAGCCCTCCGGAGATGCAGCTTCGCCTCGACCCCTCTCCAGACCGACTTGTGGTAAGACGCGTCCCTCCAAGCCGTGCAAACTTGGGCCACCCGTCCTTTGTCCCTTACGTCCAAATAACTGAAAATCATGGCCAAGATCTCCGGGAAGAGGCACAAAACGTGCGTCTCCATCTTCAACGCGCAGTCCTCGCCGTCACTTTCGTCGAAGGTCTCGGCTTTCAGCCAAAAAAACGTATTTTCATAGCTCCCCTCCTTTCTCTTTTCATTTATTCCCGTTCAAACGTATTAGCTCCATGCCCCACGTGACCGCCCGGATTGCGCAGACGGATTCAAATACTAGAAAAATCCACTCCGATACAAACCATAATATAAAGCAGATATCAGGCATCGCAGCCCCTTCCGTTTCGGGAAAACCTCTCTCTTTTGCCCCGGGGATCCTGGCCACGGTACATTTTTAAGGGTTTCTAAAATACATGTAGTCCCGAAAGATGTCAGGACGGCGTGGGCTCCCGTTACCATCCCTGTGGCGAGAGGCGGAAAGCAGGGCTCTGTTAGCACTGCCTGGCCGACGGGCCTACGGCTGCTGCCGCCGCTGCCTTTGTCTGCTTCTTTCAAACTGCCCTGGGAGGGCCGTGAGCACGGCGGCTAATGGCGGGGGGATCCGCAACAACTAAGGAGTATTTCAAAGGAAGAAAAAATCTGTTACTTAAAATAATCATAATATCCATTTACAAATATTAAAAATGAAGTACTACTCGAATTCTAAAATCATACCGTAATCAAATTAGTTTTTTTAAATTACCGTCTTCCCCTATTCATATGACGGTGTTGGTTTTTCCCCAGGTCAGCTGGCACAGTGAAATAGTACCGCTGGAAACTTCTCACATTTCTGTTCCTGATTTTTGTTGCATACCCTGGGTATTGAACGCGCCGCAACTGCATGTTTGGAGTCGAAGCGAATTTCATATCTAAGATTTTCTTTGTCAACTTATCAAATTTTACACACACACACACACACACACACACACACACACACACACACACATTGGTTCTGGTGTTTCGGCTGCTCTTTTCAGTGAGGTATAGGTGATAATTTTAAGAAAAGATTTTATTCTGCCGCTTATTCTGGGGGGGGGGGTTGTTTGAGCCTATCCCAGGCTGCACGACACAAAGCAGAGGCACACCCTGGATCAGATGCCAGTCCATTGCAGAACACCCACCAGCACACATTCACACACTATGAGCAAATGCCAAATGGTCTTCATATAAGAGTATTAGTGATTAGAATATGGATGGATGGATATTTTTATACTGCCTTTCGTCAGTGAAAATGCATACATAGATACTTGATCATACTATCACTCCCCAAATATGTTTATTTGCTACTGTAAACAAATTGTCTGTAAAATAAGTGATTAAAACAAGTGTTTAGGGATCAGAGAGAATACTTATCTTAATGTATTTTGGTCTGTGTTTTCTGACTTTTTTGAAACTGGAAGTTCTTTATCAAGAACATGCAATGGTTAGTGCTATAGCGTCACAGTAGTCTGTGGAGTTTGCATGTTCACCCAGTGTCAGCCTGGGTTACCTCCGGCAATCCAGAAACATGCAGTAAATTGAATTGGCGTCTGTAAAATTGCCCAAAGTGAATAAGTGTCCTGCAATGGACTGATGTCCTGTCCAGACTTGCCACAACTGAGTACTGGAAAAATGGTTACAGAAAAAGGTAGAATAAATGTAACTTGTCTCAGTTAATTTGATATAAAAGTTCCCAGTACAGCACTAAGATAAATAAATTACCAAACCAAATAAAATAATTATGTTCGGGTATGCCAGATGTCCAGTCCAGGCCTGTTCGCTTCTGGCTTAAGCACAATAGGGAAACAGTGCAAGCATGACTTATTCCCAGCAGATGGCAACACTTACATTTCCAGTATATGAAAACTGCACACAACACCCCAAATCTATCCATTTTGTTACTTTTAGGACTGTTTGCCTTTCTTAAGCTTCCTGAAGTCCCAGTGATGTACTCCTTGGAAGAACTTCATAGTGGTAGCATAACTATGTAAAAAGAAATGTACTTGCCCAAAACACACCACATTTAAATTGATTGTATTAATTATTCAAGTATTATAATTATATTAATTATTCATTAATAATTATTACAATTCGTTATATTAATTATTCGTTTTTATATTTTACATTTTTGTATTTTAATTAACATAGAAATTGTCTAAAAAATCTTGGTTATTCGCAACCATTGTACTAAGCATTAACTGTACACATGGAAAATCGAGCGGTTTCTGCTTTGGATTACACTCATTATTGTCACTCATTAACACCTACTGCTGATGGAAAAGACATTTTTTTATTTTTTTTTATAACTGCATTGATCTGTTTTAGTTCGTGGGCGGCCGTAGGCCTGACTATTTTCGCTATTTCTATGCGAGAAGCGCATTGAAACCCCGCCCTTTTTTCTGGACTATACCAACATTTCCCCCTTCTTTGGACTGTACCATTGTTGAAGGACTGTTCTTTTTGCCACGCCTCCTATTACTGAAAAGTGCATCAGACTCTACCAATCAAAACTGTCGTCCAGCCACCGTAAGCCACCGGAATGGTATTTTAGGGATCTGATCTCGCTGGCTTTTGCTGACAGCGTTTTTAGGAGTTGTTGGATCGATCGTGATTTGTCTTTAGACTGATTTTACAATGGCAAAAGTCGTACAATTGAACACCGGTGCAAACATGCCCATTGTGGGTCTGGGAACGTGGAAGGTTGGTGTAACTTTAAATGTTTTATTTAGCTACTATCTTTACAGGCTTTTATTTATTTAGTTAAACTCTTTATCCGTGTATTTTAATGCCGAGAAAAATGACGACTGTCCGAAGCAGTTGTGTAGTGTTTGTTAGCTGTAGTAGTTTATTAGCTATGATATGCACGTTGTGGGGTTATTTTTTTATGCTCAGAGAAAAATTATTTAAAAACAAAACGTGTAATAGCTACATATATCAAAAAGCACTTGGATAGCTAAGTATCTGCAGAAGTCAATTTGGGAAACGTTAAATATTGTGACACTCTTGTTTGCAGTTCGGGATACCTTTTATGTTTTTTAAATAAAACATTTATAACATGACGTTGCGTTAAAAAGTATTCTTTAAATAACTAGACCAATTTATTCGGAGAGACGTATCATTTCCTTGTATTTCCACAATCCTTCCCTTGTGAAAAAAATAGTCTACTAAAGTATTTACTTAAATTCACTTATCAGAAAATATACTTTCAGCGAAGTCTATTAAGTGTGTTATATCCCTAAACAAATGTACTAAAGTGTTTGATTAGACACTTTTATTCGTGTGCTTAATTCAGTGTAATTAATAATGTTTAAATACAAAATATATTTTCTAAAAGTACACAGAAGTATAATGTCAGTGTATTAAAAAATATGTGTAAAGAGAATGCATTTTTATTATACTTCTAGTGATCAAAGCACACCGTAAATACACTTAATTAGTACACTGTTTTTTCAGAAGGGTTCTGACAAACACATTTTTCTCATGTGTATGAGTTAGTCGGAAAAAGGAAAGGTGACCGAGGCGGTGAAGGCTGCCATCAAAGTTGGGTACCGTCACATCGACGGGGCGTACGTCTACCAGAACGAAAAGGAAGTGGGAGAGGGAATTCATGCCATGGTCAAGGAGGGGGTGGTGAAAAGAGAGGACCTCTTTGTGGTCAGTAAGGTGAGGATGTATGAAATTTGCCCGACCCACCTGCACACTCTGGATGGCTTTCTGTGGATGTGCGCATCCGTGGCTAGAGAACTTGTGAAGTAGAACCAAGGGAATGCAATTGAAAGTTAAAATAACCAGTTTTAAAGGATTCAACAGCTACAAATCAAAAAGCAAGGTTTTGCACATGTTACTCTATTATATTCCCTCCAGAATTCTCCCTGCTATTTTAACTCTTCTCCTGAGCCAGTTTATTGCTAAATTACCCTATTAATAATGATAAGTAGCTGACAATGTAGTTCTACCTAGTAAAAATGATTCTTAAGAGGCATGTAATCCACAAGATTAAATGCAAAATGTAATATTTGTATATTGTTCTATTTAATGTGAATGACCCACAATTCTGAATTCACCTTGTGTACTTAAACCATCGTCATAAAACTTGACACTGCCCTTAAACCATTTATAGTCCTGCTACTCATCACCTGCAGGAATTAAACAAGGCAACCTTTTTCATTCAGTCATGAATTAACATATTCAGTTTTCTTCACAACAAAGGGTACCATTCTTCATTTTAAAAAGGAGATGTACCCAGGCAAATAGGAGTAGCTGTGTTGTGAAATGAGTGTCAGATTTTAATTATGTCGCAATCGAAATTTCCCCTCCTCAATGGACCTACTTTACAGCTGTGGTGCACATTTCATGAGAAGTCCATGGTGAAGGAAGTTTGCCAGAAGACACTGAGTGATCTTCAGCTGGATTACTTGGACCTTTATCTGGTGCATTGGCCCATGGGTTTTCAGGTATGGAAAATGTGAAACCAGGGAATTTACTGTATTTCATTGATAAAATTAATATTAATCAGCATATGAATTTTCTCAGTTTTCAGGAAATAACTGAAATAATGCTTACTGGGAGATAATATGGGAGAGTTCTGATGTTCTGCCTGGACTCTCTTGTTGGTTAATATTTGGTCACACGATATTTAGTTTTTTGTCTGCATCATAAAGCTAAAAGCTTTATGTATGAGGTTTTTGTTGTATGTAGGCGGTGGTCGTGGGTTCAATTACTGCCCTAGTTTTGCATGGAGTTCGCATATATTTTTTTTATATATATCTATCTATCTATCTCTATCTAGATATCTATCTATCTATCTATCTATCTCTATCTCTATCTCTATCTCTATCCATCAATCACCGCTAAATCCCAACTGGGGTCACAGGGGAGACCAGAGCCTATCCTGGGATCAGGTTCAGGCAGGAATCAACCCTCAGCAGTCACACTCACAGGGCAAGCTTAGCGTCGCCAATTAACCTACTGCGCACACTTTTGGAGGAAACCCACACAAACACAGGGAGAGCATGCAAACTCCACACAGAAAGGTCCTACACCCAACCCAGGGACCAAACCCAGGGCTTTCTTGCCTTGAGGCAGCAGCTCTAACCACTGTGCCACCGTGCTGCCCGATTTAATATCTGTAATGATATCAACTAGGTAACAATGTAGTTCTAGCTAGTAAAAATGATTCTTAAAATGTGAGTGTGTGGCCTGCGCTGAACTGGAGTCCTGTCCAAGTTCTCCCAAGTTTGTTTCCTTTTTGGGATAAGGTCCAGGCTCTCTGATCCTGTACTGGATAGGTTATTATATAAAATGGATGGATGTGCATGTGGCTGTTTCCTGGAAGATATCACCTCTTGTATATTAATTTTTTTGCTTTCCAGGCTGGGGAAGAACTTTTTCCTCTGGACAGCGAAGGGTTAACTATTTCTGACAACACAAGCTATTTGGAAACCTGGGAGGTCAGTGAGAATGGAGAAGCAATGCCGTTGCTTAGAAAAGGTCAACTTGTGTAACTGATGGATTATTTTTGAGGTCTCATTTGCCATGGTTGTGCCCTTTCTAAGGGAATGGAGGAGCTGGTCGATGCAGGTTTGGTAAAAGCCATTGGAATCTCCAACTTCAATCGAGGACAGATTGAAGCTTTGCTGACCAAACCAGGACTTAAGTACAAGCCAGCTAACAACCAGGTACTGTGGCGCTTCCTCACGATGCTTATTCACTGTGCTCATCCTAACATTTGTCCATAGATATGCTATGAACAGTGTTCTGAGGCATTTTCACACCGAAGTTCTGTAACATGGTTCCTGGTTACAAGTCCTTGGGCTATTTTAGCCAGGGACTTTTGTAGCTCTAGGCCAGTTTTATGTGTCACTTTTAGACCACACAACAGGAACTGGGACCTTGATAACAAATAAACATGGGAGACACAAAAAGCTCATAGGTTAAACTTCACACATAGTATAAAACTAATCACAATCAAAACAGGATGCAGCTTTTTATTTAGATTTTATTTATACGACCCGTGACATGTTTATATTTCATTATTAAATCTGATCGGTAGATAAGTCTTTCTTTTCCACAGAATACAAATATGATGTAATGTTATTCCACTAATAAAAGCTGGCAAGTTTCACTGCCAGCACCAATGATATTACAGAAAAATATGTTATTGATTGAATTTTCCAATCCACAAATATCAAGATGCAAGGGGAAAAAAAACATATTCCTTGATGCATTAAATGTAATTGAGGTACAAAACTAATTTCATCTGCTTTTGCTCTGCTTATTCTTTTCCCTGGACTTCTGCATAGCTTTCAAGTTAGCGCTGGTGCTTATGGTCAACCAGTCAGCAAGTTATTGGTGTAAGCACCTTCCCAGTAGTTAATGTTCAAGCACAGAGTACCTAGAGTGTACAAAGATCGTACTTGTTCGTCTTGGCAAAACCAGCCATGTTGGAACTCGTCTTCAGCAATGGAAGATGATGTAAAATGGGTACATGAGAACACAAGTAAGGTGAAGTATGCATGGTGAGAAGCACCCCTTAACTTGCCTTCCAAGAATGAACTTGGGGTGCAATGAATCATGGAACTGGTCTCATTTGGTGAGGATGCGACAGATGTATCCTTTATTTCTGGTGAGGCAAGAATGACATACATGCATTTTTACCGTCCTCTGTACTTCTGTTCTTGAATACATAAACAGGTACACAAGTACGGTCAAGTATGTTGACAAACACCTGTAGCTGGAGTAGGGACTAAAACAAAGTTCCAAGACTACCTATGAGGAACTACAACCAGAGTGCGAATTACCCCTCCATAATTGGGGGGGTACTGCCTTCATAACACTTCTATGACCATTACGGTCCGCTACCGCGTCAATATGAATAGTCGCCACCAGGATCAATGTTAAGAGTGCAAGATGCGCCAGGGGTGTTTACTAACATGTATGTATGAGAATCAATACAGAAGATCTCATTATCTTTATCCCTATCCAAAAGAATTTGGATTTGATAACTCCCAGGAATTATCCTAGGAGAAGTATACTAGTAAAAGTAATAAGCCTATACATTTACGAACAGCCTGGTCTGGTCCAGCAGTCTGGTGTTATTCCTGCCCTCTCAGTCCCCCCAGCTCCAACAGCCTTCAGAAATACATATTTGCCTATCAGGCTAATATCTGTATTGATGATATAGTAGTTCTTAAAGTA